GTACACTCTTTCCATGGTTGCCCCCTGTGGTTGTAATGCAACCATTAGCTAAATGTACTATCAATAAAATCCTGGGTTGCAAGTAGTCACCTTAATATTTAAAAAAAAAAAAAAAGATCATTTTTTACTTAAAACACAAAAGTAATTTTATTAATAAAATTTTGTAGTATAGCTCTTCAAATTTTATAATTTCTTATAGCTTATTATAAAATTTATAATATAAAATAGATTTTCCGAAGATCTTTTTTTTTGTTGATTTCCCTCTTTTCTATAGCACCTAGCTCATAAATATGTAATATACCTATATATAAAAAAAAAAGAAAAAAAGCTAGAGAAATTTGATCTTTTTTAGAGTTTTCAGTGACAGACATCTAGAAAGCTTTCTAAAAGTTTAAAAATGTGGAATTTGATAGAGATCTTGACTCTGAAAATTTTCTGTCACTAAAAATTTTCGGTGACACTTGGCTATAGTAAGATATCACATATATACTTACTATGTATTTTTTATGACTTTTTAGGGTCACCCCTATGGGCCTGTAAAGCAATAGTTCTCAAACCTATAACACTATTTTGTGCCATCTTTTTTAGCTTCTTTTGCTGATATTGATACTGTCTTTAATATTTATCTGCATGAGTATCATAATAATTATAATCGAAATAAGTCAACTTACCACATTCTTTACAAGGTATACATGATGAAGAATTCCAGTAAACTTTACACCCTTCAGGCTGATAGCAACCTCGATTGCAAACTTTTCCAGTCTTAAGAATATAGAAGCAATAATAAAATGCCATGTTTATATAATTTTGATATAGTTATTATCTACTGATAACTATTCTTTAGAATTAATTTTCATTTTGAACTTTTTTTTCTGAAACAATATACTAGCAATAAAAAATACTTACTATAAGTATCCAATATTTCCAAAAAAATATTGATCACGTGTCAGCAGAAGTGGAAGTACCACTTTCTTGTCCAGAGAGCTTAGAAAACTCAAAGAATTTTGAGCCGGAAATAGAGATAAAGGAAGGCTCTTTAAGCTATTGCTCTGCAATAGAAAATAGTGAAGCATTGTACTACTGGGGGTTTAAAGCTGAGAGTGTAGCTGAATATCTATATAAAATTCGCGATGATAGTATAAGACTATGACAATTCCTTAGTACAGATTCTGAGAATGGAATAGAGGCAATACTTACAGAACATACAGACTACTCATTGTATAAAATTATTAATGAAGATGAGCCACTTTGTCTCTTTATCGATTTTGATTTTTCTAGAGAAAAATTTGATAAAATTAAACCTAAACTTAAGCTTTCAGCTAAAAAATATAGGATTTACTTTATCGTGCCTTTAATGAAGTATGTTTAGAAATATATTCAGTTTTGGATTGCAAAACATTGACTATTGCTAGTAGTAGTGATGAGAAAAAAATGTCTCTCCATATATCAGCTTTTGGTTTATGACTTAACAATATTGCTAAAGTTGCAGTATTTACTGAGCTCATTCACAAAAAACTTCCAATAGATTTACAATAAAAAGATATTGTTGATAACATCGTCAACAAAAGCTTATTTTCTTTACAAATACTTAATATCCCAAAGGTAATTGAAATAAAATGTAATGAAAGTAGTAAAAAATTGTATAAGCATATCTGTCCAAAGAGAGCAATATTTCCAAAAGATGGTACTGTTTTTGACTTTATGCTATGCCTACCTAATGACAAGGCACCAGTTATAGACAATCCAATCTTAGTTTTAAAAGATAAAATGTCAATCGAAGATAGGTCGATACCAGAAAAAAATAAAATCGATGCCAGAACTATTGAAGCTGAAGTCAATTATATAGAGAAACTACTTAATGAAATGAATATCAAAAGTTTTGATGTTTTATATCCAACTACTGTGTCTCCAGATATATTCACTTTAAGAAATATAACAGGATCACATTGCCCTCTATGTAATCGAGAACATAGCAATGATAATAAATATATAGTCCAAAAAAGAAAAACCTATTATTTCTATTGTCATCGTGCAGATAAAGATATGCCTAAAGGTACAAAAAAACCTTTATTAAAACTTATTATTAATGAGACTGTTGGAAATTAGGAAAAAAGTTTACCACCCTCCAAAAAATAGAACATCCCAGAAATTCTAATCCAAATAATCACTTCATATGGGTGACTTAGTTAATATGTGTACATCAGAAGAAATATATACTTATAATCAAGTTTATGAAGCAATACAAGCAACTATTGCATGTATCCAAACAACTTCAAGATTATAGATACTTAAAATAAAAGATTCAGATAATGGTTTTTATTACGATATGGCACCTAAGCTGGATTTTGCCAAGTATGAAATTAAAATGATAGAATATGATGATGAAACAGTGAAGTTAAAAACATTAATAGACCAAGCAGTTATTAAAGGTCTAATTCTTTATCGTAATATCAATTTCCTACCATACCCTCCAAATACTTTTCTAACAAATACCAAGTTCTTTAACCTTTTTCTAGGATTCAAAACCCAACCAACAATCGAGATTAATCTAGCTATTATTGATCCAATTCTATGGCATGCAAAAAATATAATCTCTGATGAGAATGAAGAGCTTAGTAAATATTTCTGATACTGGTACACATATTTAGTACAACAACCATCTAAAAAACCTAGAACAATTCAAGTATTGCACTCCTTACCAGGTTGTAGGAAAAATATCTTAATTGATTTTATAGATAAGAAAGTCCTCAGATCAGAGCTTTTCTATACAACATCCAATTTTGGAAAAATATTGAGGCATTTTAATAGTTGCATTCAGGCTCATAAACTAATTATTATGAATAAAACAGATATGTCTAGTAGAAATTGGAATAAGTATAATGATCATCTTAAATCACTTATCACAGAAGATTATTTAACAGTTGAACACAAAGGTATCAAACCAAAAGTCATAAAAGATTATACTGGATTTATAGTATTAAGTAATCATAATGCTCCACTCTGAATAGAAATAGGTGATCAGCATATCGTATATTTTGATGTATCTTTCTGTTGTAAAGGTAACATGGCATATTTTAAGAATTTGGCCAAAGTACTCGAGCACCCTAATGCACCAAATGTAATTATGGCTTATTTACTCAGTCTTGATATCTCAGATTGGAATCCACAAGATATTCCTGCTACTAAAATAAAAACAGATATAATTTTGGAACATTTACCAAACCTGAAATGATTTATAATTGATTATATTTCATCTTGGCCTGAAAATAGAACTGAGAATTCAATATGTTTAAATTTATATCAGGAATATCATACTTGGTGTAAAAGAAATTATAAAAATCCATTTACTAATAAAAAATTTGAAAAAACTTCTCCAACAATTGGTATAGAATACAAGCAAGCATGAATTAATAGAAAAAGAGATTGGGTTTATATCCTTGATCAATCCAAAATTGTGAGTAAACTACGCGAATCAGGCATCGATATCGAAGAATTTTCTGATACACCTCAATCTGAGATATCCTCCAATGCGTCTACAGATATCTCTGCATTCAATGTACCTAAAATTGTTATATACAACCAGAAAAAATAGATCTCATTCCATTAACCACCAATTGAAACGAAAAAGGTAAGGAAATAGTAACCACCCCTCCTATTACTATATAACCCAGGACTTTTTTGATTTGATAATAAATTAACCAGAATATTCAGTTGCTTCATCATCTAAGTTTACTAATACATCTATATCTCCCGAAGTCATAGATGATAAATCTAAATATTCTGAAATCTTTCCTAACTCATCTGTAAACAATGCTGTAAACAATGAACCAAAAACCAGTAACGAAGTATCATCCTAGCAGATATCATACCTACCTGGATATCAAACCAGGGAGCAATGAAAAATATGATTAAGGCAAAAAGCCATTGAACTTAGTAAAAATCCTATTAAATTTGTTACTATAACTGATTAAGATAAAATTGATTTCAAAGCATTCTGTGATAGAATGCAGACTGATATGAGAATATGTAGTTTTGCAAAGGAGGCTGAAGAAGACTCTAGTGAATATATGGATATAACAGTGCAAGAAAGATTAAAAAGTGAAGAGATAAACTGCTGTTCTCTCGAGAAGGATGGAGTCACCTCATCATAGTTGGATACTGATGAGGAATGGAAAAAATAGTTAACATACTTCAAGAAAATGGTATGTTATAGTAAATTACTTGATTAGTAAGGAGTGAATAGGTAGGTAAATTTCACAGATAGGAGCTTTGATATAGAGAAATTTTTGCTTCTACATATGGGTAATATAAAATTTTCAAATTAAAATATAATAAAAACTCTGTTCTTTATACCAATATACTGGTTTTTGTAACACCTAAAAAAAATATTTAGTTAATTTTTCTAAAACCTCTTTAAGTAATGCTATATCCTCTTTGATCTCATTGATATTTTTAGTAATTTTATTACGTAGAGCTATAGATTTTAAGACTTTATTTCAGGGGAATGGCACTTCGTGCCTAATCGAACTCGTGTTCATTTTCTGATATAATTACAATAACTATGACCTATTCAATTTTTGGTATAGCAATACTAATCCACAAGTAATTAATTTCGATTTGAAAAAATATATGCCATAGTTATAGTTTGTGCAAATATCCCAATCGACAATGTCAAAAGTTGCAACAAATTTCATAAATCAGTATAATTTAACCCCCCAAATGAGCATAGCCAAACTTAGCAATTATGCTGAAGAATTAGTTAAATATTTGAAAGATGTGAAGGCCTATAATCATGCACAAAATTGGATTCAGAAATTAGGATTTAGTAAAAATCAAACATATGCTTTAATTCCTATTCAAACTTCTGGAAAACACATTACAGATTGAGATCTGGTTAAGAAACTTGCTTTGTATATTAAAGAGAATAAAACCAATCTTGAACCTGAATGAATAAGCGAATTGATCTATAATTTGGCAAAAATGGTATCTATTATTATAGCTCAATCTTCTCTTCTTAAATTGCTTCAGAAAAAATTACACTAACTTAATGCCAATTACATTACATTAGAAGCTATATATGATCTAGACATTACTCAAAGATCAAATAAAGAACAAGCAATAAATTAGGAGCTCTGTGAAGACGAGGAATATGATTGTCCTGAATTCTTTTACTTGAAAAATGTCCAGAAAAGACTTAAGAATTGTAACATTACCAATTCCCCTACAATGCAAAATTTAATGAATATAATGATAATGTTATCTATGAGGTCAGCAGATGTTGCAAATCTTTATATTGATTACTATAAACTATCTAACACTGATTGGTACAATTCTAAATATTCTTGGTACTGTACTAGATATGCAAAAAATAAAAAATATAAATCTAGACCATTAGTATCTATGGAAAAAGATCTACTACTGGCTAGAAAATTACTTATTTAGATCCAGAAAGCAATTTCTAATGAATTCCTATTTTTAATAAGAGATAAAGATAGTGATGTAAATGTTTATCCAATTAATAATTTTCTAGCAATTTATGGAATAAGCTCATCATATTTGAGAAAAATAGGATCTGACCATACTATTATAATCCATGAAGGTAAGACTCGCTCTAAATGTAACTGTCTTTATAAGTTGGCATTAAGACACAAAATAAATTAAGAAGCATCAGATCATTACGATGTGATGAATAACAGACTGAATACTTCAACATCTAAACAAGAAAATAGTGAGGTTGAGGATATCATCGATTTATATAGAGAAATTTCTGATAATGATAACTAATTATGCTTCTTTACTTTTACCATATCTACAGAAAATCTTCATCATCATTAGATGATTCAGAGCTCAACTCAGATCCAGATGAAGGCTAAATTTTTTATGTGTCTTTAGAGACTAGCTTCATTATTCATGATTTTCAGTAAAGATCGAGAATCCTCTCATACTAATTAATTTGTAAATGAACAAATTACAAATCCAAAATGAGATTTCATAAAATCTGCAAATTGGTTTGTTAATACAGAAATATATTATAAAACAGAATAAATAAATAATAAATTTCAAAGACTTATCTGGTTAAAGTTTAGGTAAATGTATTGATTTAGATATTATATCCATTTATTTTTTAGCTATAAAATAATTCTGGGTAGTAAAAAAATAATATATAGTCAGGTTAGTATAAAATGATAAGAAAAATTTTTATCATTAACCAACTCATCATAACCTATACTATGAGTAACAAACTACTTAGCGAAGGAGAACTTACCAAAAAATACCCTAAACAAGCAGAATTATTAAAAGCCTTAGAAATAAATATCTTAAAAGGTTATCCAAACTCTCTCGCAAGTAATATCACAATACCAGAGCTAGAGAATTGTCATGAATGTAATAAAGAAATTTTGTTAAATCCACCCAAAGCATTTACCATGCTCATGTGTCTCATATACTCCATTATGACTGTCTTGAAAAAAGTAATAGAAATAAGCAAAAAACTTGTCCTATTTGTTTCATAGATAATGAAGAAATGGCATCAGCTAAAGTTCAGAATGTAGATATGTCAGAGGCAATTAAGGATAAAGGTAAAGAAACCTCTAATCTAATGTAGGCAGTAAAAAAGTTATCTGTAGATAGTGGTAAAGTTATTCCACGAAGTGAAACAAAATCCATAAAATCTAATAAATTACAAGGTTTAATAAAAGAACTATCTATGCCAAGTGAGCCAATTGATGATAATAATAGAGAAAATAAAAGCAAAGAATCAAAACCAATAACTTTACTCCAGTTATACTATAATGCAAACCAGACAGAAAACATGTAACCTGTACCTACTAAGAAGAAATAAGATGCTGGTATCTGTTTGCTAAAAAATTTAAAGAAAGAGTTAAAGAAATAAAAAATGAAACCTCTGGGTCGATAGCGTAGTGGTTAGCGCTCCGGAGGTCATAATCGCAAGATTGCCGGTTCGAGTCCAACTGGAAGATAAAAGCTGTGCCAGGACCATGATTGGAAATGATCTTTAAGAGGAGCTTTTCGCTTTCGGACGGATTACTACAACGATAAATAAGTTATGTGACATAGCCACAAAGGTCATGCGGCACCCAAAAAAGGGAAAATCTGACAAGAAACATCGTTAACATAAGGTTTTCCAGCTTAAAGTAATATAAAGAAATGAATAATAGAAGAACGATTCGGCTGGTGGGTCATGTGAAGTTAGGGAACTGCGGACCGAATAAAGATAGTAGGTCCTACACCACGGAACCAGAGACCCAGGACATCATATGATGAACTTAACAGAGCATGAGCTATCTCATGAGCACAGTGATGAATATAGGGGCCACCTGCCGTCAGATGATCTCGCAGAATGATAACTCTGGCCTTTAAGAGATGTGACAGATCCTAAAGGTGTCTAAGGACCTTCAGGATAGTGGAGGGAGGTAAAATCAAAAAAAATAAAAAAATAAATAAAAATAAAAAATGATAACAGTAAGTATAATGATCAACAAGCTAGAGGGTTAGTATATGGTGAAATTGCAACCAATCTTTCAGGATTTATAAAAGATAGTTTGCATAAAAAAACTGCAAAGACTAAAAATATCTACAAGTTGTTTGGAGAAAGTTATAACCCCAATACCAAAAAAATAGTTAAGGGGATAGGAATTGAAAAAATTGAGAAAATTCGAACATATAGTGCTGATTATATTTCAAAGCTCAATTCTACACAAATTTATAATATTATAAAGCATTTTAATTAGTGCAGATTGTGTCCCCAAAGTTGATGCCAATGTGATATAAATATTTTTTTATTAGTAAATCATATATATATATAATTACAATATATAATTTAATTCATAATAAAGTTTATATATACTAATACTGCAATATTGTTAAATATAGTAATAGGCATTCAATCAACATATACGGATCTTGACCTAAGATTTATGCATGTGAGGCAGGGCATAAACATTACAGGCTTGTATAATAAAAATTATTAGCCACATTATATTTTTTTCTGTTAATATATATATAATAATAATGAAAAATCTGAATAATATGTATACAAATAAAAATTACTTTGAAAAGTGGCATATCTTTAGAGGTTAGAAGCATGGATATAAGGTTTGTGACGAATGCAACCATTATCCACATCTATATTGCAACACATGTAAAAAAGTAGCAAATGAAATATATAAGCAATGTGAATGTGATAATTTTAAAAGAGAGCCTCAAATAATTAATGTTTAATAAAAATAAATGGATTAACAATTTGGTAATAACAACGATAATTTAAAATTTCAATGCAATTTATTCATGATATGAGATTTTGTGCAATGTTTGTACCTCCTATATATATGGAAAAAGATATCTGATTTGGTAAATCGATTATCTACTTTAACATGTCTTATAATTAGAGTTTCTATTTCGACAAAGCATAACCTGAAGATTATCATTTTTTGGATTTTTACAAGTATTGCTCACAACAAGCTGATTTTACCTTTTTATTTCAAAAAGAGTTTGATAAACTGAAAAAAGATCTCAAAAATCTGATAATAAATAGTTCAGATAAACAGAAAAAAGGTGCCAATTAGTTAAATGGAAATTTTAAGGTAAATTTTTAATCTTCATTTTCTGCATGACTAGTTAGCAGAGGGAGGCTTCTACAACTACGATGGGAACCTGCTTGCTGTTTATGGTCTGCTTGCCCATTGTGGAAAAAGGAATCCCACACAACTACAGTAGACATCTGCTTGCTGTTCACTTTACAGTCTGCTTGCCTGTTGTGTCTGCTTCTAGCTATACCTCTAATAATGCTTTATTACATAATATATTAACCTATGTAAACTATAGGGACACTGGGAATGTTTTAAAGATGTCAATATGTTTTGGGAAAAAATTGAGATGCACAAAGAATTGCACCTTCTTGAAGTTTTCATTTAACCAGTTTTTCTGATCTATCTAATAAAACTCAAGCTCTTTATTGACTGTATATTTTATAACTATAGGAAAATGCATCCAAATCCATAATTAACAATACAACAAAAGTTCTTGGAACTGCTATCGAAAATGTCCATTATATTATCGAGAACATCAATGATGCATTGGTATGAAAAAATAGTGAAAGATAACTGAAATGACAGTTGTTTTACCTTATTATATATTATTTTTGTAGACAAACCCAAAAAAACGAACTTCATTAATATATGCCATAATGACCAAATTTACTCCAGAATGCATCAAAAAAGTTAGTATATAAACTACAATTATGTTAAATTTGCAAAATTTTCCTACCTTATATAGCAAAACAACACAGACTGATGGGCAATTTGAGGCATCAAATGAATCATCATTAAAGCTTCTCAAAATACTTTTAACAGGGTTATTTGTTGATTTGAGACAAAGAAGTAGATATTATTTGGATAAGACTCATTTCATTTCTAAAATAGAAAATCTTAATGCTTCAGCCATACTTTCTCTGCATTCTTGTCACTTTGGTAAAACATTATTTCTTTCTATTCTGTCTTCTTATTATGATATAAAGAACCAAGAAGACCAATTCAAACAATTATTTGGTGATCTGTTCATTAGTAAAAATCCTACACTATTAGCATCTTCATTTCTAGTTCTGGAGCTCAATTTTTCTAGAATTCGCACTAGTGCAACATATGTCGTCTTTGAGGAGAGCTTTCACAAATGTTTGAATCTATTTATGTCAGGATTTATGTATCAATATCAACAAGAGTTGGGTCATCATTTTCAAATTGTTAATAAAAATTCTGATGCTTTGACAAACTTATTAAAGTTGCTGAATGCGATAGAATTATGTGGTTATAAGGTATTTTTTTCTTTGTTCGGTCATATATTTGTTCAAAAAGTATTAAATAATTATCTTTATACACTTTAGCTATATATTTGCATTGATGAGTATGACGCTAGCATTAATGAAATTCTTAGAGATGAAACTGTCATCCAAGAACTCACTGATAATCACAAAAATGAAAACAAAATCAAATTAATTGAGAGTTCATTCAAGTAATTTTACAGTTGTTTGAAGACTGCTTGTGATAGAGGCATAGTTTATGATTTTCAAACTGGCATAACCTCTGTTGCTATGTTTGAATTTACCTCAGAATTTAATATTTCAACAAATTTAGCATTAAGCGAAGAATTTTGAGACTTACATGGATTCAAGCAGTCAGAAGTTGACCTTCTTTTGGACAATGCTCTTGGAAATAATCTATCATCTGATGTTAAGAAGGGAATAATAAAATAGTTAAAAAAGGAAAATGATGAATATTTTTTTAATCCTAATCAAGCTGAGGATATATTTAACACTACTCGTATTCTATACTGTATTCAAATGTTGATTGAGCAAATAAATTTACAAGCTACAGTGAAGATTCTTCAAACATCATCAAGAAATTTCTTCATTTTCCTCCTGATCTGAACATATTGCCTTCTCAAACAATATTGGAATTAATTGGCAACAATCCCCTTGGTAAATCTATTCTTACTGAAGCACTCAATCGAAGTTCTCTCAAATCAAGAAATGGTATAGAACAACGATTTTATCTCATTAGCATTTGCAAGCTGGCAACCGATTACAACCTGTTATTATTATTCATGTTCTATACTAGTGCTCTTACATATCAACCGAATTCATTATAACATATATTTTGAATTCCAAATCATGTTTCTGAAAGAGAGTTTATTGCAGAGGCACTAAAAATCTACAACTGGAAAGAAGAGGATTTAATACCTGTACGAAGTTGCTTACAGATTTTGGAGCCAGAATGTAACATCGAACTGCTCTGCCGATTTGTAGAGGAAACTTTACTTAAGCCATTAAAGGACAATAGTGTTAAGCATTCAAATGAAGAGGCTTTGAAGCAATCTTTTATAAACACTTTAATTCTTACTCTTTATGCAAATATTGAATTAGAGTTTTGGATAAATTCTCAAAACTCTAATTTAGGTAATAAGGCAATTGATTTAGTGAAAACAAGTACTGGAGGAAGGATAGCAATCGAATTTGATAATATTAGAATAGATTATATTAATCTAAACAGAGCTCAAAGTACTTGGCAGAAAGCAACACAAGTATCATGATCATTGATGATGAAATTAGAGAATGAAGTTTTAAGCCTTGAAATTAG